TTCCCCCAGTTTCCCTAAGTTCTGCTTAGTTTAATCTCAGGTTCCCCCAGTTCTCCCCAGGTTCCCCCCAGTTATCAGTTTCTCTCAGGTTTCCTCATGTTCCCTCAGGCTCTCCCGGGTTTCCTCAGTTCCTCTCACGTTCCCCCAGTTTCCCTCAGTTTTTCTCAGGTTCCCTCAGGTCCCCCCAGTTTCCCTCATGTGTCCCTAATTTCAGTTTCCCCCAGTTTGCCTGTTTCTCTGATTCCCCTGGTTTCTTTCAGATTCTTCCAGTTTTCCTCAGGTTCCCTCAAGTCCCCTCAGGTCCCCCCAGTTTCTCTGATTCCCCCTGTTTCTCTCAGATTCCCCCAGTTTCCCTAAGGTTACCTCAGTTTCTCTCATGTTCTGCCAGATTTCCCCAGTTCCCTCAGTTTCTCTCAGGTTCCCTCAGTTTCTCTCAGGTTCCCTCAGTGTCTCTCAGGTTTCCCCCCATTTCTGTTTCCCCCCGTTTCTCTGGTTCCCCCCGATTCTCTGGTTCCCCCGTTTCTCTGGTTCCCCCCGTTTCTGTTTCACCCCCCCCCCGTAAGTTCCCTCAGTTTCCCTCCAGTTCCCTCAGTTTCCCTCAGGTCCCATTAATTTCCCTCAGGTTTCATCAGGTTTTCTCAGGTTCCCCCAGTTTCCCTCCAGTTCCCTCAAGTTACCCCTTGGTTTCCCTCAGGTTGCCCCACTTTTCCTCAGTTTTTCAGGTTTTCCCAGTTCCCCTCAGTTTCCCTCGTGTTCCCCCAGTTTTTCTCATGTTCCCCCACTTTCCCCCAGGTTCCCCCACTTTTCCTCAGTTTTTCAGGTTTTCCCAGTTTCCCTTGGGTTCCCCCAGTTTTTCTCGGGTTCCCCCAGTTTTTCTCAGATCCCCCCAGTTTCCCCCAGGTCCCCCCAGTTTCCCCCAGGTCCCCTCAGTTTCCCCCAGGTGCCCCCCGGTTTCTCTCAGCCCCCCCCCCGGTTTCCCTAAGGTTTTCCCACTTTCCCATAGCTTCTCCCAGGTTCCCCTTGTTTCCCTCAGTTTTCCCCAGTTTCCCCCAGGTGCCCCCCGGTTTCTCTCAGCCCCCCCCCGGTTTCCCTAAGGTTTTCCCACTTTCCCATAGCTTCTCTCAGGTTCCCCTTGTTTCCCTCAGTTTCCCTCATGTTGTCCCAGTTTCTCTCAGGTTGCCCTAGTTTTCCTCAGGTTCTCAGTTTCCCTCAGGTCCCCTCAGGTTCCACTAGTTACCCCCAGTTTCCCTCAGGTTCCTTCAAGTTCCCCTTGGTTTCCCTCAGGTTCCCTCAGTCTCAGGTTCCCCCACTTTCCCTCAGGTTCCCCCAGTTTCCCTCAGGTTCCCCCAGTTTCAGGTTCCCCTAGTTACACTCAGGTTCCCTCAGTTTCACTCAGGTTCCCCCAGTTTCAGGTTCCCCTAGTTACACTCAGGTTCCCTCAGTTTCACTCAGGTTCTCCCACTTTTCCTCAGTTTCTCTCAGGTTTTCCCACTCAGGCTCCCTCGGGTTCCCCCACTTTACTCAGGTTTCATCAGGTTTCTCTCAGGTCCCCCCACTTTCCCATGGGTCCCCCAACTTTCCCATGGGTCCCCCAACTTTCCCATGGGTCCCCCACTTTCCCACGGTCCCACCACTTTCCCATGGGTCTCCCCCACTTTCCCAAAGGTCCCCTCAGTTTCTCTCGTGTTCTGCCAGATTTCCCCAGGTTCCCCCACTTTCCCTCAGGTCACTTCAGTTTCCCTCACGTTTCTCAAGTTCCCCCAGTTTCCCTGAGGTTTTCTCAGCTTCTCTGATTCCCCTAGTTTCACTCAGGTTCCCTCAGGTTTCCCCAGATTCCCCCAGTTTCCCTAAGGTCTGCCCAGTTTATCTCAGGTTCCCCCAGTTTTCCTCAGGTTCCCTCAGGTTCTGTCAGTTTTCCCCAAGTTCCCTCAGGTTTCCCCACATTCCCCCAGTTTCCCTCAGGTCTGCTCAGTTTTCCTCCAGTTCCCCGGGGTTCCCTAAGTTCTGCTTAGTTTATCTCACGTTCCCCCAGTTTTCCTCAGCTTCCCCCAGTTATCAGTTTCTCTCAGGTTCCCTCAGTTTCCTCCAGGTTTCCTCAGGTCCCCCCGGGTTTCCTCAGTTCCTCTCAGGTCCCCCCAGTTTCCTTCAGGTCCCCCCAGTTTCCTTCAAGTCCCCCCAGTTTCACTCAGGTCTCCCCAGTTTCACTCAGGTCTCCCCAGTTTCCCCC